AAACTTCTGTTTATCACCCGTCATATGATTTGAGCAGCCCGAATCTACGATCCAATCATTTTTGTAGTCAATCCGTTTTTGTGTTGTTCCTGTTAGGGCTAATTCTTCTTCCTCCGTAGCGAATAATGCTTCAGCATCCCAACTATCTTCACTTTTCTTCTCTGAGTTGGCGACGTTACTCTCTGTGGGCTTTTTGAACCAGCAATCCTTTGCCTTGTGGCCCTTCTTTCCACAATTGTAACACTTGCCCTCAAACCTTTTATTATTCTGGGACTGACCATGGTTGCCGTGATACTTCGGAGCTCCCTCTGGTCGAGAACTCCCTCCTCCTTGATGACATTTCGCCTTGTCACCATTTATTTTAGATCCACCATGAGCACGCTGCTTAAAACTGCCTTTACTTTTGGTGTAGAGCACTTCCTCTTCACCTTTTAACGAGACCCCTCCCATTTGCTTTGCCAAAGCTTCTTGATCGGCAAGCAAATTCTCGAACTCAACAAGTGATGGTTGGGTAGGCCATCCTTGTACAACGGCAACGAAGCCTCGATATTCGGGTCTCAATCCATGGATAATTATTCTTTTTATCCTGGATTCTACAATGGCAGCACTAGGATCTAACTCAGAAATTTCACGACAAATAGACTTTACCTTGTGGAAATATTCAGCAATTGTCATGTCTCGTTGGGCCATCGATAGCAGCTCGTTCTCGAGAAGTTGCAGTCTTGTATCATTCTTCTTTGAAAAGAGTGCGGCGAAGGTGTCCCACGCTTCTTTTGGTGTCTTGGCCTTCCGTATGTGCTCTAACATGTCATCTTCAACTGTGGTTTTTAAGGCAAACATGGCCTTACCTGCCTTGATCTTCCACTTCCTCAAAATGCCACTAGTGTCTTCTTCCGGCTGCGTAACTTCATTACCACCGACAACATTCTAAAGATCTTGGCCTTGTAGGTAAGACTCCATACACGTCGCCCATGTGTTGTAATTTTTGTTGTTCAACTTCTTGATTCCTCCAACAACTTGAAGATCTCTCATCGTGTCGGCAGAACTTCAATAAACACCAATTGGGTTGGTGTTGATCTTCAACATTGTATACATGCATCTACTTTAGAAACAAGTCCATCATCATACGAAGTTCCAATTATACAATGACTTTGTTTTCAACGGGAAGATTGTGAGTGTCGTTAGAGGGATCATGTTGTGGTTAGGTTACCGCTTATCGGGTACCGAGAGGCTTCTTCGTTACTTTCTAGTCTTATAGAGTCCAGATCTTCTCTGTGCCTTGCATCATTGCTTGACACCTGCCCCAAAGTTAACTACATCTAACTCTGTTAAATAATATTAATATTAAATAAGAATCTCAATCTTCTCTGCCTCTGAGTTAATTTATTAGAAATAATTAAAAAATAAGGGGTCATCTTCTCCACCTTCTGTGCCTTTGTTTTTCATGCCAGAAAAAATGGTAGTGAAATCAACGCAGGAGGGGCTTGGGTGCATATATGATGTATATATAAGAATCTCAATCTCTGTCGTTGGACTAGTAAAGGGGAGGGAGGCGGCGAGAGATGGGAAGGATTGGGTTCGGCGGGGTTTGCCTCGATTGGAGAGGGAGGCTGAAGTTGTTTTGGGGTTGAGTGGTCGTCGGAGGCATGGCTACCGGCTTTTTCCTTCTCTAAAATTTTTATCCTAATTTTAATAATATTATATAACAGAGTTAGATGCAGATAACTCTGGTGACATGCACATACAGGCCATAGAGAGTTTTGGGTGCAGAAAATCTGGACTCAGTCTTATGAGGGCATTGAGCTAGCAGGGAGAGGATATCAGTTAAATAAATTGAAAATCTTCGTTTGTGTTCCCTTTCTCTGCATTTTCTTTTTGTTCCGGCATTTCTTTCCTTTCAATATACTTGTATCCTATCAGTTTTTGGGTGATGAGTTAAATTAAATCTACTGCAGTGATTTGCAAGGTGCATCCTTGGAAGGTCCTATTCCTTATACCATATCCTCCTTGAAATATGTGAAGGAATTGTAAGACCACTTTCTTCTATCTTGAAATAATTCAATATTCCAAAACAAATAAATATTTCTGATGTGTCTTTTGTATCAGGATGATATCAGATTTGAACGGACCAAGTATGCCTTTTCCTACTCTGAGATATATGAAGGACATACAGATGATGTGAGTTTCATATTACATAACCCTTTTGAAATTGTACTTCAGTGTAATCCCTAGCTAATGCAATCATTTTCTAATTTTTGTTCGCATTCCTGTGATACAGGATTTTGAGAAATTGCTCAATTAGTGGTACAATCCCTAATTACCTTGGCGAGCTGACAAAACTAGTAACATTGTGAGTGCTTTTATAATCAATATAGTTGTATAGATCTACAAATTTACTATTGCCAAACTGAACAAGATTTGAGACTTAAGCTTTAACAAGTTTAACCAATACGGCTTTGAGGGCCCTCTCCTCTTTTCTATTACTTGTGGATTCAATATATCTTCAAAAGTTCAAAACAAACCTCTGACATATGTTGTGTTTTTTTCCCTCTATGTAGAGACTTAAGCTTTAACAAGTTGACTGGAGAAATTCCACAGACAATTGAGCGTGCTAGCCATTTATCTTTCATGTAAGTCGGTCAAATGATGCATTCATTTATTGGTGCAAACAATACACATTTTCAATATTTCTCAAGTCAACTATATTTACATTTTCATTGACCGTTAAGTTTTACGTGTGCAGGTCTTTGAGCAACAACATACTGACCGGCGAAGTACCAATTTGGATATTGCAGAGCAAACGTTACCGGTCAGTCTATCAATTTCATTTTTTTTGTTTCTCCATATTTGAATTTAGAGATGTCATTAATGCCACACAAAATATGTTGCAGGGACTTGTCATACAACAATTTTACGGGATCACCTTCCGTCAGCTGTCAACACTTGACTGTGTAAGTCTATCAATATCCAAACCTAGTGCTCTTGGCTAAATTCGTTATGTACTTATTATATGTTCTTTCTCTGTCAAATATTATTTGCTAATTGTCTTGATTATTACAGGAATTTGGTTTCTAGTTATTCGTCGCCAGAAAACTTGTAAGTTCACAAAAACTTGTGATTCCATGTTTATCAAACATCATAGGATATATGTATGAGTCATGACTGAACCTTAATTCTTTCAATGCGTAGGTGGTGCTTGAAGAAGGACCTTCCTTGCTCCTCAAAACCAAAATGTGAGTTTAAGTTCATATAATTTTTTCTTTTATCTATCCTAGTAAATTGGTTGGTTGTATAGTCTAGCGGTTTTTTGGGTACTTTTGTTAGATGTTGCATGTTGTTTATCGAATTGATGGTGTTGAGCAAAAATTGTCACAAGAACAAATAATTCACTTGACACAATTTCACTCTCGTTCATTTTTTCGAAAAGGGTTTTATTAATTTGAGTTTAACCTATTCTAGACTACGTGCCTATTAATTACAACCGTTCTTTTGGGAAAAGAATACTCTTTGATTCTAACATGAAAAATATGAATTTTGGGGATTGGTGTTTTTGTTTGATTTTGTGATTGCACCTAGGTGGAGCCCTAGATTGCCTACATACCCTTTTAAGGGATTAAGTCACTTGTAGTTCATGGTTTGGGGATTTTTAGTTAGTGAATGATTCACTAAAAAGGATTTGTGATTTCCCTAGATTGCCTACGTACCCTTTTAAGGGATTAAGTCACTTGTAGTTCATAGTTTGGGGATTTTTAGTGAGTGAATGACCCACTAAAAAGGATTTGGTGTTTGGTTTATTTGGGTGAATTTGGTTGAAGGAACCAAGGAGTCGATTTGGATTTGGTAGTGAATTTGGTTGAGGTGAACCAAGGATTCGATTTAGTATTTTTGTGTTTGTTGTTGAGCCTAGAATATGGTATTAGATTGCCTACGTATCCTTTAAGGGAATCAAACCGACTTAGTTCAAGCTATGATTTTGGTATGGCTTTGTGCTGTTTTGGGAATTTGAATGATTTTGTATCCTTTTTGAGATTTGGGATGGCTTTGTGCCGTTTGAATTTTGAAGCGGCTTTGTGCCATTTGAGACTTGTCGTGGTGCAAATGATTTTGTAGCTACCTGCCAACTCTTTTTATCGGGCATGTAGTCATGCTTGTCATCTAGTCCTTTTGTTTTGATTAGGAAGAAACTGCACTGGGGCTTGCTAGTAACAATTGACTTTCTTTATGAAGCTTTCTTCCAATTCACTTTGCTATTTTCGAATTTGGGCATTTCCATGGCGCTTTTCTTTAGGATTTGTTGTTTCCCTTCATGGAGCACAACCACTTTAGGCTTGATTTAATGTTTCAAAGCTTTTCTTAAATTTGCCTTTCCTCCACTTGAACTTTCCGAAAGCTACTTTTGGTGGCTTTGGATTCATGGAACATGCCATTTTGATGTGCTCTGTACTTTGGCTCAAATACTTCTCACTGGGGGCCATGCTCTGTGACACGCCTGTGATGAGCAAGACTATTTCTTTCTTTCTCTTTTTCTGGAACATTCTTTGAAGAATGGAGCAGCAGCAATGAGCCAAATTCTTTGAGTCGTGTTCAACTTTTGCCAACAAGTTTCTGCATAGTTGGTGATTTAATGAAGGACAAATGGTCTCCACACTTTTTGTTTTAAACCGTTTGAAACCGGTGCCTTTACCATGATGTTAAGTGCCATCTTATTTGGCCCAATTCTTATTCATAGAGCCAAAAGTGATAAACTCCTACATGAATAAAAAATGGAAAAGCTTGTTTTTCTTCTTTTTATTTATTCTCCATGTGGAGCAACATTCCTATTTTATCTGGGGAGTAATTTATCTGCAGCAGAACTCCATCCTTTCTTTTCTTTGCTGGATGCTTTGTCTTCTATGAATTCAACTAGGAGTTATAATGTAACCACTTGAAAGAAAACAGCAACCCCATGGCCAGAATCAGCAGTAGCTCGTCAGGAATGCGGCGAAGGGGTAACCCAGAGGGCCTTCTTGATGCTGTAAAGGTTTTTTGACGTTCTACTTTGAATTTTGAGGTTGTTCTTTGGTTGCTTTTTACGGGACAAGGCCTGCACTATTGGGCTACTCGGACGACGACTCGACGATCTTCTTCCTGGAAGCCTTTCTATAGGGACCGGGTCTTCAATGGCCTCAGTACGGCGGACAGGGTTTAGCTGCAGGTTTAGGCTTTGAATGCTTGTTGCTTCCTTTGCCGTGTATTTGTTTCTGTGCTTTTCTTTCGTTTGTTTCTCTCTTGCTTTTGCTGTGTTTCTCTGCTCTTTCTTTGTTTTGTTTTTCTTTTCTCCTCTGCCGTCTCTCTTCTCTGCTGTGTTCTGCCGTCTCTCCGTTGTCCTCTTTTTCTGTCTCCCGTTTTCTCTGTCCCTTTGCAGTATGTTGCTCCTCTTCCCGTTTGTTCTCTCTATGCCCTCTTTTTTCTCCTCCTCTTTATCCTGTTTCTTTTGCAGTTTTTTATAGACTGGAATTTGTGGAGGTTGTGGATGGATAAGTATGGAGAAAGTGGGTAGTTTTCCTTCTAACTCCTTTTTGCACGTTGGAGGAAAGTAGGGGAGGAACTGCTCCACTTTCTACATGCTTCAACCGACTGCTTCCCTCATTTTTAATTAATTAATTAGTAAATTTTCTATTCTTTATTTTATTGCTTTTCTAGGCATATTTTTTGGGAAATCTGAGTCAAGTTTCAATGGGGTCTAACTAACATGCAACAACTTATGATTTTATGGTCGTTATAGGTGTCATACATATGAATTGTGAAGTATAAAATTCTAATTCTATTCTTGTTACAAATGCAGACCATTCTATATTTATCAATTGTGGAGGGAGGAAGACTAAGTTTGATGGCCATACATATGAAGAGGACTTGAGCCCTTTCGGACCATCACACTTTGTTTCGTCGGCTCAAGAGTGGGGCTACAGCAGTACCGGTGTGGACAAGAGCAACCCTGATGCAAATTACATCGTAACATCTTTGAACATTACCGGGCCAGATTTATATCAAACAGCGCGCATTGCCCCTCTTTCACTTAAGTACTATGGCCTTTGCATGCTCAAAGGCAGCTACAAAGTGCGGTTGTACTTTTCCGAGATCATGTTCACGGATGACCAAACTTTTAGCAGTCTTGGAAGACGCTTGTTTGACATCTCAATTCAAGTGAGTACAAATAAACTTTCATTTATTATTTGTGATTCTGTGTTAGTTTATTAACTGTTTTGTTTTTTTCGAACACTACAGAAAGTTCAATGGGCAACATTTAGTTTGTTTGGCGCATTCCATTATAGATCACACTTTATGCTCTTAAAACTGTTCATGATATTTCTTTTGGCATTTACTAGACCACGACACTTGTTTGGAAGGTCATATGCCGTTTAACTGCTTTATTTGGGTGTTATTTTATACGAAGTTCTAAACGAAATGCAGAAGTATATTAATGCCGTATTGAAATTGTGATCATGTGCAGGGGAACTTGGTTTTGAAAGACTTCAACATTATGGAAGAAGCAAGAGGTGTCGGTAAGGGCATTGTCAGAGAGTTTGACAATGTCACCGTTATTGGTAGCACACTGGAGATCCACCTATATTGGGCAGGAAAAGGGACAACTGCCATTCCTTATACAGGTGTCTACGGGCCTCTTATATCGGCCATTAGTGTGACGCCAAGTAAGTTTTACGTATGTTGTAGAATATTTGCAAGTACTTTCTCATCTATTAGATTTACATTTATTCTAATAAAATTATGCTTTATTTTGGCAGACTTTGAACCTCCAAAAAAAACTTTAAGCTACTTAGAGCGTATTAGGAGTCATGTGCCTATAGGCACAATGGTAGGAATTGGATGCGCAATAGCAGTCGTCATCATCGCCATCGTATTACTAGCGCTCGTTATTCTTTGGAAGAGAGGTCTCCTAGGACGACAAAAAACATTGGAGGATGGTATTTTCTGTATCTTCGTTATATTGCCTTTTGTTTTCATTGTTCCATTTCTAAGAACATTTATCCTATTTTGTGACTTCTCATGCATATTTAAGTGCACACTCCGAGATAATAATTGTCTAGATATTGAACTTTTCGACAGCTTGATGCTCTTAGAGTACATTATATTTTTTAAACTCACGATGCAAAGTATGCATGCCTATAGTTCCAGGTAGTTGTTAAGGTCTAGAGGCCTTCAAACAGTAGTGGGATTTAAGATAAAACAATGATATTGTTCTTAAATTTGTCTTAGACACAACAATTTCTAATGAGTTTTACTTGTCACGCAGATTTGAAAGGTGTGGAACTACAAACTCGCAAGTTTACCTTTACACAACTCAAAGATGCCACAACCAACTTTGACCAAGCCAATAAGATTGGTGAAGGTGGTTTTGGTACTGTTTATAAGGTAATCTTTGAAACAAATAATTTATTTTCTAATTTGATTAATAATTGCCATCCTAATTATGATTAATTTCTCGCGTGAAGAGATTTGTATTAACTATCTTAGTCAAATACAGGGCATTCTTGTAGATGGAACCCTGATTGCTGTTAAGCAGCTTTCTTCCAAGTCAAAGCAAGGAAATCGGGAATTTGTGAATGAGATAGGCATGATTTCTGCTTTGCAACATCCTCATCTTGTAAACCTATACGGATGTTGTATTGAAGGAAATCAACTCTACCTTGTCTACGAGTACATGGAAAACAATAGCGTTTCTCATGCTTTGTTTGGTAAGTATCACTTTTGTACGCCTACATTTCCTTTAGTCCATGCACATGGTATAAAAGATTGTATGCACAAAATTCTGACTAATTTTGATTAACTTGATAAACTGAAGGGGCAGAAGAAAGTCAGTTGAAGTTGGATTGGCCAACGAGGCATAGGATATGTGTTGGCATAGCAAAAGGTTTGGCTTATCTTCACGAGGAATCAAGCTTGAAGGTTATCCATAGAGATATCAAGGCCACGAACGTGTTGCTTGATAGACATCTTAACCCGAAGATCTCGGACTTTGGGTTGGCCAAACTTGCTGACGAAGATAAAACACATATAAGCACTCGTGCTGCTGGAACTTTGTGAGTCATTTTTTAACTTCTCTTCTTATATTTCTCCTTCCAATATAGTTATATTACGGCATATGTTTATAACCATTGAATTGATGTCATGATTTCATGATTTTGCAGTGGATACATGGCACCAGAATATGCACTTCGGGGTCATCTCACAGACAAAGCAGATGTCTACAGCTTTGGAATTGTTGTACTGGAGATTATCAGTGGGAAGAAGAACTCAACTCAGCAGACAAATGCAGAAGGATTTTATATTCTTGATTGGGTAACTTTCTAATTGAACTTTAATTTTGATTTTGTTGAAGTTGTTTAGAAGGCTTTTTTTTTATATCTTCTTTGTTGAAAGTTTACTTATTTTTTAAGATACATAAGTTATTTTGCTTTTGTTCTTTTCATGTTTCTAGGCGCATGTTCTCAAATCGGAAGGGAATTTGATGAACTTAGTGGATCCAAAGTTGAGCGCCGAATTCAACAATGAAGAGATGTTGGCTACAATCAATGTAGCTCTCCACTGCTGTAATTCCACTTCGAAGCTTAGGCCCACTATGTCTGCAGTTGTGAATATGCTCGAAGGTAAGGCTGCTGTTGAAGAGTTTGTCTTGGACCCCAATCCCTCGACAAGTGATAACATGGACCCAACGTTGAAGAAACTTTTCCAGTTTTGTTTGAGAGGGGGTGCCGGGTCAGTTGAAGGGCCATCGAATGATTCATTTGCAGCTCTTGATGATATCCATCCATACAATCCTCGTTCAGGTCGCCAAGACGATAGAAAAGGGAGAAAATGGCACAGTTTTTAGGGATTAAAAGGCACGTGAATTACAGGTGGAATTAAAAGGCACGTGAATTACAGCTTGAGTTTTACGTTTGTCTTTCGTTAGAACACATACTTAGCAGTGATCTTATTGCAATATTTACTTATTTCTCTTTTCTATCAGGATTCAGATGCCAATTCATTGTCAAGCCATTCTTCTACACCAATTCCTTCAGCCAGACCAATTCTTGTTGAGTAGAGTTAAATTTCTATTGGTATGAATCTGCTACATTTGCTGCAAGGTTGATGGATCAGCTTTTGGCCTATCCTGTGCTGTCTAAATGATGTCGACACACCTAAAGCTGGCCAGGGCAGTGAACCTTATCTATATCTCCATGTCAATACATCACATGAGACTCATTAATTACTTGTAGTTCCTTGTCAAGCTTAGTTGTTAATTTAGGATATCAACTAGTTCCCATGCCTGTACGTAAATTAGAGGGACCTCTTTTGTCATTGAAAGGTGTATCTTTGATTTTTGAGCATTCTATTCTTCCCTTGTAAGATGTGGTTCATCATGGTTTAGATTGAATAGAAGCTGAATTTGACAAAATGTTGGATGCTCAATCAATAATCTATACATTTTTATGTGTGTACAAAACCTTCATCCCAAGTTCTCAATCAATTTAGTGTTTCGATTCTTACAATATGAACTCCTGATTGTTACACATTTATCTAACTACAACTTCCCTGGAGCAATCCTACAGGAAATTTCCAGATGCTTATTTATTGTTGGCCAAAGAAAGAATAAAAAAGCATGTTAAGTTCATATTTCAGTCAATCAATCTAACTGCCTAGACTAATTTTGGATTTTTTTCCAGACAATTTGATGATGCGAACATGTTTAAATTGTTGAAAATAATGTTTTTAGATAGGTTTGGGGGATGGAATTGACCTAGATTGAGAATTGAGGGGTTTAGAAGCTCAAAAAGTGAAAAATAACCATAGAAAAGCTGCAGAAACTTTCCAGATATTTGGTCATTAAAGCATTTTTTGTGACGATTTTCAAACAATTTGTGATCTCTAAAGCGTCTGTTTCTGGGCAATTTTCCGTCAGTAAAGGTTATTTTTTTGCTTTCTGCAGCTTCCCGTTATTAATTTAGTAGTTTGCAGTCACATTACCTGATCTTGAGAGCTCATTCATTACACTGGTAAATACTAAACCTCTTTGGAATTTGAGCAACTAAACCTCTTTTACCTATCTAACTGGAGTGCTCCAATTTGAATTTTTTTTATACTTATGTCTTAACTACATTGTAATAGTTGAGAAGTGTAGAAAAAAGGAAAAGGGAAAAGGAATTTTAGAGAGAGAAAGTGATGTAATATTTTCTCTGTATATTTTGACTTCTTCATTTGCTCTGTATATTGTATTGAATGAATGATTGACTTACGAAAGAGTCAGAGGAGATTAATTCTTGATTTCCCAGTTCGATGGAATTCAACATGTCTAATGCTTGAAACAGCCTTAGAGTACAGGGGTGCATTTCTCTCCTGCAAGAGCATGACCCTTCATACACATCAGCTTTAACTGACACAGAATGGGAATGTACGAGGTTTGTTACAGTTTATCTGAAACTTTTGGAATCACTAATGTTTTTTCTGGCAATAAATGTCCAACTGCGAGCATATAATTTCGTTAGATTTGTCATGTTCACAGCCAATTAACTGATGGTGCAAGAGCCCGGACAAATTTCTCTAGGGCACTAAAGATGAAAGCTAAGTTTGTTAAGTACTCCAGCAAGTGCAGTTTGGCTTTGGCAGTACCAGCAATCTTGGATCCCCAATTCAAATTGAAGTTGGTGGAGTATTACTACTCTCAAATATACGGTAGTACTGCTCTGGATAGAATTAAGGAAGTTTCCGATGGCCTCAAGGAACTTTTCGATGCTTATTCAATTTGCTCAACAATGGTAGATCAAGGTCCAGCTTTGCCTGGTAGCAGCTTACCCAGTACTAGCACTGATAGTAGGGATCGATTGAAGGGATTTGATAAATTTCTCTACGAGACCTCTCAGATCCAAAACATGATATCAGACTTGGACAAGTATCTAGAGTTACCAGTCTTTCCGCGCAGTTGTGATTTTAAGAAATTAAATTGGTGGAAGGTCTACACGCCAAGATACCCTATTTTGTCCATGATGGCACGTGACGTTCTGGGAACTCCTATGTCAATGTTGCGCCAGAATCGGCATTCAACGTTGGTGGTAGAGTGCTTGATGAATGTCGAAGCTCACTGAATCCTGACGTTTGAGAGGCTTTGGTATGCACACAAGATTGGTTGCGGGTGGAATTAAAAGGCATGTGAATTACATTTTGAGTTTAATGTTTGTCTTTCATTATGACATATACTTAGCAGTGATCTTATTGCAATAATTACTTATTTCTCTTTTCTATCAGATGCAACTCATTGTTAAGTCATTCTGCTGGATCAACTCGTGGCCTATCCGGTGCTGTTAAACTGATGCTGACACACCTAAAGCTGGTCTGGGCTGTGAACCTTATCTATATCTCCATGTCAATACATCACATGAGACTTGTTAAGGCCTTTAGTTCCTTGTCAAGCTTAATTGTAAAGTTTAGGATGTCAACTAGATTCCCACATCTGTACCTTTCGTCATGGAAAGGTGTATCTTTGATTTTCGCGCAGGCAACTCTTTCTTTATAAGATTTCGTTAAAGTAGCAAAATGTGGATTGCTCAATCACTAATCTATATATTTATAGTTATGCACAAAACCTTCATCTCGAATTCTCAAATCAATATATTTTAGATTATTCTTTCAATATGAACTCCTCAATGTTTATCTATTGATGGCTAATAACTTCAACTGTCTTGCTGTTATAAACCATGTATGCTGAACTTAGCTTTTTTTTTTTTTTTTACAAAGCGATATTCTATATTATAACTCAGGGGAGAAGTATTGAGGTTTGATCATCAGCCGGCGGCTATTGGAAGAGTATCAGCGCTGTTGTTATTCCCGCGGACTTTAGATCTGCAGCTGGTACTACTGGTAAGATATAAATAAGCTTTCTTCAATGGTGCTCCGTGTTGGCTTCAATCCAGTGACAACGAGGGTAACTGCACTGTGTGATTTGATATGGTGAGGAATCATTTGAAAAGATAATGGTGCCAACAAGAACAGATGTTCCAGAGTGTATGCCCCCTCCTGAAGATGCTTTGTCAAGTGGTTTTTGTACTCTTAGTTGCGTGTAGGATAGGCTAGGATCTATTTATTCGTTTCATTTCTTTGTTTTATCTTGATTATGAGGCATAAACTACATATCTTGCATTCCGCAGATCAAAAACTTACAAGCCAGGTTCATGAAATTGTTGGGAGAATTAATGGCAGATTTGGAACTTTGACAGCTGTCGCAATGCGTCACCTGGTATGCCCTTGATTTTTCTAAGTAACTATTCCATGATATTGAAAGGCCATATTTGGTACTTGGTGGAATTTAATACGAAGGATGTTGATGTGCTGCTTATGTATGACGCCATTGGTCCGTCTTTATTAACTTTCTGTATGATGATAGCACATTCACAGGCATAATTTGAATTTGAAATGCTAGACTCATGGCACAAGGTTCAATGGTTGGTTATAGTTCCTCTGTCATGGAATTATATCTCTCCTGCTTAGCACTATTATATAGAGTGTAGTAGTTTAATAGCCATTATGATCAGTAGCAGTAGTTGTTTTTCATCTATTTCAAGTTTCAAAACCTATTACATTTGATTTGGATGTAATACTTCCTAAACAACCTTTCATTGTCTACAGGATCGTTCACTCCACCTTCATGCATTGTGTGCACTATATGCTGTAACTGGTACTATTCTACATACTCTGGTTCTGATTCCCTGTTTCTTTTGACCCAAATAAGTTTTCGACATAACCTTTCACCTGGGGAGGGTGAAGAAGCTAGGACAGAAGGGTAGAGTTCAAGAGAGCAAAATGCGTTTAGGAACGTGGAATATAGGAACCTTAACGGGAAAATCTATGGAAGTAGTGGAAGTTATGGTGAGGAGAAGGATAAATATTATGTGCCTACAAGAAACTAAGTGGGTTGGTAGTAAGGCAAAGGATCTAGAAAACTCAGGGTTTAAACTTTGGTATTCGGGCACAAATAGAACGAGAAACGGTGTTGGCATCATCGTGGACAAGACCTTGACACAAGATATTGTAGATGTCAAGAGGGTAGGAGATAGAATCATGGCAATCAAGATTGTAATAGGACAAGAACTTATCAATGTGATTAGTGCGTACGCACCTCAAGTAGGGTTGGATACGAGTTCGAAGGAGAAATTTTGGGAAGACCTTGGAGACTTGGTGCAAGGAATTGCTCAGACGGAGAAGTTATTTATAGGAGGAGATTTAAATGGACACGTGGGCAGGGAGACAGGCAACTATGGAGGTTTTCATGGTGGCCATGGTTTTGGGGAGAGAAACGAGGATGGGGAAGCTATCTTGGATTTTGCAATGGCATATGATCTCTTCTTAGCCAACACCTTCTTTAAGAAGAGAGAAGAACATGTGATCACCTACAAGAGTGGGTCGTAAAAAACACAAATAGATTTTCTTCTAATGAGGAAAGGGGATCGTATAACTTGTAAGGATTGTAAAGTTATACCAGGAGAGAGCGTGGCTAATCAACATCGCTTGTTGGTGATGGATGTACATATCAAAAGAGTGAGACAAAAGAACAAGACTTGGAAGTGCCCAAGGACTAGATGGTGGAATCTAAAAGAAGAAAAACAAGCCATTTTCAAAGAGAAAGTAATCACCCAGTGTGTGTGGGATAGAGATGGGGAAGCTAGCCAAATGTGGGATTCCATGGCTAGTTGTATCCGAAAAGTAGCAAAAGAGGTATTAGGAGAGTCCAAGGGCTTTGCCCCACACCAAAAGGAATCTTGGTGGTGGAATGAGGAGGTACAAACAAAGGTGAAGGCTAAGAAGGAATGTTGTAAAGCCTTATACAAGGATAGGACTGATGAAAATGGTGAAAGGTATAGAAAAGCGAAGCAAGAGGCGAAGAAAGCTATGAGAGAAGCTAAGTTAGCGGCTTACGATGATATGTATAAACGACTAGATACCAAAGAAGGAGAGTTGGATATCTATAAACTAGCTAGAGCAAGGGAAAAGAAGACAAGGGACCTAAACCAAGTGAGGTGCATCAAGGATGAGGATGGAAAGGTTCTTGCTACAGAGAACGCGGTTAAAGACAGATGGAGAGGTTATTTTCATAATCTTTTCAATGAAGGACATGAAAGGAGTGCTTCTTTAGGGGAGTTGAGTAACTCAGAAGAGTGTAGAAACTACTCTTTTTATCATCGAATCCGGAAGGAAGAAGTGGTTGTAGCTTTGAAGAAGATGAAGCATAGAAAAGCAATAGGCCCAGACGATATACCAATCAAAGTGTGGAAAGTTTTGGGAGAGACAGGTATAACATGGCTCACTGACCTTTTCAATAGGATTTTGAAAACGAAGAAGATGCCAAATGAGTGGCGAACGAGTACTTTGGTGCCTATCTACAAGAATAAGGGCGACGTACAAAATTGCATGAACTATAGGGGTATTAAGCTAATGAGTCATACAATGAAGCTCTGGGAGAGAGTCATTGAGCATAGATTGAGGCAAGAGACACGGGTTTCGGACAACCAATTCGGGTTCATGCCAGGGCGTTCAACCATGGAGGCAATCTATCTCTTACGAAGATTGATGGAAAGATATAGAGATGGGAAAAAGGATTTACACATGGTCTTTATAGATTTGGAGAAAGCGTATGATAGGGTCCCAAGAGACATTCTTTGGAGGATTTTAGAGAAGAAAGGAGTACGAGTAGCATATATCCAAGCTATAAAGGATATGTATGAAGGAGCAAAGACTGCCGTAAGAACTCATGAAGGACAAACTGAAAGCTTTCCCATAACTGTAGGATTACATCAAGGCTCATCCTTAAGTCCTTACCTTTTTGCGTTGGTAATGGATGAGTTAACAGGACATATTCAAGATGATATTCCTTGGTGTATGCTTTTCGCAGACGATATAGTGTTGATAGATGAAACTCAGGAAGGGGTAAATGCAAAGCTTAACCTTTGGAGAGAAGTGTTGGAATCTAAAGGTCTTCGCCTAAGCCGATCAAAGACAGAATATATGGAGTGCAAGTTCAGTGCAAATGGAGGCCAAAATGAGTTAGGGGTGAGGATCGGAGATCAAGAAATACCAAAGAGCGACCGTTTTCGTTACCTAGGATCTATCTTGCAAAAGAACGGAGAATTAGATGGAGATCTCAACCATAGAATACAAGCTGGATGGATGAAGTGGAAAAGTGCATCCGGCGTGTTGTGTGACCGCCGTATGCTACTGAAGCTCAAGGGAAAATTTTATAGGACGGCAATAAGGTCAGCGATGCTGTATGGCACAGAATGTTGGGCGGTGAAGCATCAACACGTACACAAAATGGGTGTAGCGGAGATGAGGATGCTTCGTTGGATGTGTGGGCACACGAGAAAGGATAAGATTAGGAATGAGGATATCCGGGGTAAAGTAGGAGTAGCCGAAATTGAAGGAAAGATGAGAGAAAATCGGTTACGGTGGTTTGGACATGTGCAAAGAAGGCCTACTGACGCTCCGATTAGAAGATGCGACTATGGGACAGAGGTTCAGGGCCGAAGGGGTAGAGGAAGACCTAGGAAAACTTTGGAAGAGACTCTAAGAAAAGACTTAGAGTACTTGGATCTAATGAAGGACATGATACAGGACCGAGCACAATGGCGTTCTAAGATTCATATAGCCGATCCCACTCAGTGACTTGGATTTCCCAAGTCTCCAACCGAGAAGTTTTCCTCACTCAAAAATTAAGGGAACACTACCTCAACCTACATGCTCCACTCACAAAGCTTCAACAAAAGAAAATTCAAAGAACTTAGCGAAGAAGGCTTTGGTGTATTTAACACAATACGTTGAAATGAAGGAAAGCTTATTTATTGATATCCCCGATAAGCTACAAATATGTACATATACATAAGTCAAAATAAACAAACAAGAGGGAGCCTTCACAAAGGTTGCTTAGGAGAAGTCTCAGCAGTCGGTAGAGCCCCAGAAAGAGAAGGCACCGGAGGGGGATCATTTGGAGCCTCGGTACTGGACAGAACCCTAGAAGGAGGAGGCATCAGAGGTTGATCATTTGGAGCTTCATTATGTGGTACAGCCCCAGAAGACGAAGGCAATAAATGTCTTTGGAACAAACCCACAAATCTCTGATGATCAAGTAAAACCTGACCATCAGATTCCTTCATCTGGTCAAGCTTCCTCTTCATGTTTGTAGCATAGTCATGTGCGAGCCGGTGCAACTGTTTATTCTCATGCTTGAGCCCTCTAATCTCCTGTTTGAGACTCATCACTTCAGCCGCCAATGATTCAACTTGGCGGGTTCGAGCAAATAGGCGTTGGGCCATATTAGACACAGAACCTGCACACTGAACACTGAGAGCCAGAGAATCCTTAACAGCTAACTCATCAGACCGTTTGGAAAGTAGTCTGTTATCTTTGGGAGTGAGAAGGTTCCTGGCCACCACCGCAGCGGTCATATCATTCTTCATCACGGAATCCCCAACGGTAAGAGGACCAGTAGGGGAGACGAAGGATGGGCGCCATATGTTGTCTGGAGAAGGCGGGGCTGCCTCTTCAACAAGGTTCAAGTCAAAACGACGGTCGGATAGGCCAGACATTTTCAAAGGTGTTGAAGAGAGAAGAGGTCGGACAAATCAAGATCTTAGAAGTGCAAGAATGGAGCTTCTACTGGTGGAGATTCAAGTGTGCTTTGGAACTTAATGCCAGCCCCTATAAAAATCTGCACTCGACGGAGCTTCAGAAATCGAAGAGGCGCCTGCTCAGAAATCGAAGAGGCGTTTGCTTTCTCAAAAGCAAGGCTGCTCAGATACCACGAGGCGTCTGCTTTCTCAAAAGTTGGGCTGCGTAAAGACCACGAAGGCCGATCTCAGAAATCGAAGAGGCGCTTGCTTTCTCAAAAGCTGGGCTGCTCAGAGACCACGAGGGCCGATCTCAGAAATCGAAGAGGCACCTACTTTTCCAGCCTTGTCAGCACCTGTCACACGCACACTCAGCTTTGCGGAAATTATAGGCATTCGGTCGAAGACTTCTGGTGAAGTAGAAAGCACATGAGTCTTACTGTTCAATCACCCACTTCCCACACGCAACAGTAGCTCATGGGTACCACAGATAACTTTGCCAAAGTTCTCTGCCAAAGTTGAACACGTGAAGCTTGCAGCTCCCACTACATCGCTCTGACCAAGAAGGGTAAAACAATAGCAAAGAAACAACACTAACAAAGTTTAGACACATAAATTTTGAAGGTCTAGCTACCATATTATTACCCACAAGGGTAAAGGAACAGTACCACTGCTGGATAATTGGAAAGTCCCTGTGTGTCTACCTCTATGCTTCGTGGCAAGGTAGACTAGCAAACATGCCAAACTTTTACTCACATTCGAGAAAACACTCCCAACAAGATTGCTTGCTCCAAAATCGATGAGGCACCGTCCTCCGAATCTCGAGAGCCAGACTCCCAACATGACCACTTTCTCAAAAATCGAAGAGAGGGTAAAGGAACAGTACCATTGCTGGATAATTGGAAAGTCCCTGTGTGTCAACCTCTGTGCTTCGTGGCAAGGTAGACTAGCAAACATGCCCAACCTTTACTCACATTCGAGAAAACACTCCCAACAAGATTGCTTGCTCCAAAATCGAAGCACCGCCCTCCGAATCTCGAGAGCCAGACTCCCAACATGATTACTTTCTCAAAAATCGAAGAGACACCGCTCTTCGAATCTCGAGAGCCAGACCCCCAGCATGATTGCTTTCTCAAAAATCGAAGAGGCATCGTTCTCCGAATCTCG